TCAAGCTCGTGTCTTCTCTCGGGATAAACGGAGCAAATCACGTCCCTGTAAACTCCGAAAGCTACAAGGAACTGCCCGATATTAAGGTCTCTATTGAGGCGGGGATCTGATGACAATCAAAGGTGCATAAAAGAGACACATTCTTTCTTTCTCTGTAAAAGTGAGAGTCTTTTTCACCAGTCAAACCTTTTTTTGTTGCATACAGCAAATTCTAATATTACCCCCATACAACCTCATATAACTTCATATTGGGTTTCCTTGTAGTTGTGTGAAGTAATTATAAAAAAGACAAAAGATCATGGGGGCAATAGGATATTTTATTATTTCCCTTTTTACGTATTTGAAAAGTACACAACCGGGGAAAATCTGCCACTTCCTCACAGAGCCCCTCCTTCAACACACATGAACGCGCGCACGTGACCAAAGAGGGCACGAGATAAGTTTGTGCACAGATCTTTGGCTGGAGGCGTCTGAACCCCGCACAGATGCTGCATTCGTTTCTTGACTGGCGCTCCGGACGGATGGCGGTAAGTTGTCACAGGCGTCTCGCTGATTAAACCCATATCGAGGCATCTCTTGGCCATTTTTCTTTTTTGACTTGGTGAGTGGAAATGACTGTCTTTTTATTTAGTTTGAGCGTATTTCTATTTTCACCTAATTCCACCCCCCACTATCTGCTGGCCTCATAGCCAAAGGAAGGGGTGGAGAAAGGGGGAGAGGCCTGGGCTGTGATGGGGCGGGGGGTAGACAGTCTCACGCATAACTTCAAAGAGACACCTAGATTAACATCAGAGGCTTATAACACACCGTGTGAAATCACACCTGCCTGTTATAACACCTCAACCCTCACATCAAAGGGCAAACATCAAAGGCTAATTAGATTAGACAACTCTGAGGGGACAGGGGCCAGACAGTCTCACGCATAACTTCAAAGAGACTGCCTTAATCAACACCTAGATTAACATCAGAGGCTTATATCACACCTACCTGTTATAACACCTCACATCAAAAGATTAGACTACAAAGGGGTGTGAGGGGGCAGGGGCCCAGACAACATAACTTCAAAGAGACTGCCTTAATCAACACATCAAAGGATTAGACAACAAAGGCAGGGAGGGTTTTCACACCTACCTGTTATAACACTTCACCCCTCACCTCAAAGGATCTCGAACAATGGGAGGCGGGACTTAGCTCATTTGCATATTTGGGGGCGTGTCACCTGTCACTTTTTATGCATACTAATGTGATTGAAACAGTATGAATAATACTACTATCATCATTTTCTTATACTATGAAACATGCCTTAGTGTCCAACAAATACTTTATTTGTCTCATACTGCCTGTGCTGCAGCACCTCTTTTCACCCTCTGCCTGAAACCAGAGCCCAGTCTGCTCTGATTGGTTAGCTGGCTGGCTCTGTTGTGATTGGTCAACGGATAGAGATGTCCCGCCCCTTAGCCTTTCACGTACGATGTGTTGTGAGTGCTAGCCAATAGGAGCGTGAGTGTTACATAGTGATGTCGTTATGCATTTTCCAACTCAAATCAAGTAAGGGAAGTGGCTTGTACCCTATACAGTTAATATCTTTCATTGCTCCAAGATATTTGCCAACATCTGGTATTTTGCAGACCAAACAACACTGAATACCCTGTTCATAATACATTCATAGAAATTAGGGCTGTCAAGTTAACGCGTTAATAACACGTTAACGCAACAAAAAAAATTAACGACACTAATTACTAACGCGATTAACGCATATGTGCATTTTTTGTCCTCGGCCACCCCGTAGTTTCAGAGCGCATCAAGTTTAAAATACCATCTACAAGCTGATGCTGACAGCCCCGCTCCTGCCGCCCGCGTGCTGCAGACCACACTTCCACGCTCACCGGCAGGCCCTGACTGGCCATCTGGAGGACCGGGAGAGACCTTACGTGTATTGTTGTTGTTAGCATCTGGTGCTAGCTAGCTACGCTAACGGATATAAGGAGCTGTTTCAATGAAAACAGAGGAGCAACATTTCGCCGACAACTGCGCCGAGCACTTGACTTTATGCAGGAAGCCAGACAGTGGGACATTGTACGACAAGTCAGCACACTCAGCTCGGATAGTGCGCGCAACATGATCGCAGCGTCCAGGCAGCTCCCGTTCGAGCATATGCCTTGAGTTGCACATAGCTCCAACGATCCATCACACACACACACACACACACACACACACACACACACGCACGCACACACGCACGCACACACAACACACACACACACACACACACACACACACACACACACACACACACACACACACACACACACACACACACACACACACACACACACCATGTATACATCACTTCAGGGGACATTATATTGACTTACATGCATTTCCTGGAGACTTATCCTAACCTTAACCATAACCAACACATGCCTAACCCTAACCCTAACCCTTAACCTTACCCTTACCCTTACCCTAACCCTAATCCTAAATAATAGAAATACAATCAAAGTGGCTTCTGTACTTTTTTCACTTTATTTATTGGGTATTATAACAGTAACAGAGCAACCTGATCTTCCTAGTACTGATTTCTCGGTCCAAAGGCCTTTGGGGCTGGACTAAAAATGCGTAAACACAGTGTCATTCATGAACAGCTGATACTAAACCCCTGAATCCTTTATTCTCCCTCATAAAATCTAAAAGCATCCTTCAGCAATATTTAAAAATGAATTGAAGTATAATGTTGATTTTCACAACAAGAGCCTTTTTGCACTTGTGCTTCAGGCCCTCAGGTCTTAAGACTGCTCTGTATCTGCCCTGGTTGGGAGTTACCTTTCGACTGCTGGGACTCGCACCGAGGCATCACAAGCTCTCAATTCCTCACGTTGGTCACAAGATGGCTTTTCCCCTCGCCGGCCTGTCTGCTGTTCACTCAGACCAACATGCTGATGTTGTAATCATGGTGGAGCCGTTCATGTTAACATGTCTTTTTACAACATGTCAGACAACCCACTGCTTGTTCAGGCGCCTCGGCGTTCAGCCTCATCATTCGGCAAGATGAGGCACCTTTTCACCTGTGACCTGGAAACTAAAAGCAAAAACAGACATGTAAACATAGCCGTCTACCCACCTCAGTGCTCACCATATGGTGACAAAAAAACAAACCGTGTCTGAAAGGTTGCTCTGTTTCCCATCGACAGAAGGCCTGGAAGGGGAAGACATCCTCACAGTAATCCCTCGGGTCCCCCATGGTCTTAATATCACAGGAGAGGCTTTGGTTTGATGTGGTACATCAGCAGACAGCTAAGTTTGGTTGTGACGCATACTGTTATAGAACCATTGCTTTCTGTCGTCACATGAAAAAGACACGGGAAGTTATGGATTAAATTACATTTTTAATAGTTCATTTTAAACATGAAGCTCAAATTATTTTGAAAGGGTCCCTCTTGTGCTCATTTTTAGGTTCATACTTTGTATTGTGTGCCTCTACTGTGACATGTTTCCATGCTTTAATGTTCAAAAAGGTCTTTATTCTTCTCTGCTACAGCACCTCTTTTCAGCCTCTGAATGAAACCAGAGCCCAGTCTGCTCTGATTGGTTAGCTGGCCGGCCCTGTTGTGATTAATCAACACCTTAGAGATGTCCCGCCCCTTATCAGACCAGTACAATGTGTTGGAGCGCTAACCAATAGAAGTGCAAGTGTAACATAGTGATGTCAATAAATTGTGCACATAATAATTGTAAAACTGTTGTTTTTTGTGATTATCAACATATGCCACAATAATGCCCGACACAACTTTCCACCAAAAGCTATACATTTTAACTCCCACCCAACTGCATTACAAATCCTCTCTAGCCCACCCATTTGACTGCAGAAGACATGTGGTGTTACAATGTCTTAGCATTTGCATGGGTACATTTCTATGTGAGGGATGCCTGCACGCGAGGGTATCTGTGTGTGTTTCGTCGCACGTGGGTAGATGTGAACAGTCTTTGTTGGGATGGAGACCTGCTTGCTGCTCATTGGTTAACATATGCGAAGGGGCGGAGCTCTGTAAGAGGAGCAAATTAGGTAGTCAACATTAAGGAATTGAGCATTTGTTAGATTGGGTCATGTGTTTGAATGACCCACCCATCCACCCCATCCCCCTTAAACCAAGTCACCTGACTTCCAGAGCCATTGCTTTGAGAGTCTAATATTGAAGTGGCCTGAAATCGACAGCCAGAGAAACAAATGCTTGGAGAAAAGATGTGAAATACAAAGTCTGAGTATGATTCACATGGCAGGCTGGCAATCTATACCATTTGATTTAAAGGATAACATCAGCCTTGTGTGTAACTAAACTACAGAAAATTGTATTGAGGCATTTTTTTAAGTTAATCTATCTTTGACGACATACTGATGACAATATGGCCCGCTATATTGAAAAATCATAAACCTGACAAGTATATATTTTGTCATTTACAAGTAAAAAGCTGTCCACTCTTGCTTAATTCAGTAAAAAAAATAGTTTTTAAATGTTTACTTGGATATTATATTATTATATGTTGATTGCTTAGTATTTTTGCGAATATTTTTTTTATTGTGATGTAAGGACCTGCTTTACATTAAAATACATTTTAAACGCTGGTAAAACGGTATTATGTAACCATCAGCAAATTAAAAAATGCCATCCCTACTGGGATATTGACTTCACCCAGATGGGCTTTCATTAATGAATGGTGTTTGTACAGTGGAAATATATCAACAGTGTGGAGGGGTGAGGAAGAGAAGGAGTGTCAAAGAAAAAAAGGGAGAAAGGGAGGAAAAGGGGGATAGAACAGAAAGGGAAGGGTGGAAAAATATGTGTGTTTGAGAAGAAGGGAGGGAACACCAGTGTGTGTGTGTGTGTGTGCGTGTGCGTGTGCGTGTGTGCGAGATTGTGAGAGTGAGTGAGCGAGCAGTGGGGGGAAGCAACAGTGGCAGCGCTGCATCATCACTACTGCTACTACAGCAGAGAGGAGAAGCCGTTTACTGCCTGCCTCCCTGATCTATCTCTCTCTCTTATACACACACACATTTATGCTATACACACAAACATACACTAGAAGTCAGCCAGCTGCCTCTGAGCCTCACTACCAGCCTCACAGAGGAGAGATCCCGGTGACATTATCCATCACTTCTGGATGTTCGCCTGCCTGCACTCTTCCTGCTGGCAGCGCTCTGAGTGTGTGTTCGTTCCCTGAGGTCCACAGAAAAGGCTGCCACTTCCAGGTCTGACACTGCTTCTTTGGACTCTCTTGCTTTTGTTTGCTGAGACAGTCGTCACTGTCAACGTGAAGGAGTTACAACATCACAGCTGCCTGGAATATCGGCATTATTTTTCCCTCCCTTTTTCCTTTGCAAGAGAGGAAGTGGATCCCTGTATTTTTCCGGAGGCAGTGTGCCAATGCAGAATGCTTACCTCAGGATTTGCAATCTAGGGGTGGTGGGATGGGGGGGGGCGCTATGATAAACAGCTGCGAGGCGAGGATGGTTAGCACTGCAGCATCAGACTATTGTTCTACGTTGGGGTTTTTGTTTGCTTCTCGAGGTTACACACATATATCACAACCTAAAGCAGAAGCAGTGGAGCCTGTTTGCATTTTTCATACACAATGGATTACTGTTACTTTAAGGACGGGCTCCCTGCCCACTAAGGGAAGAAAGATGCTGATTTAGGGATAACAAGAGCACCGGATGAACAACTTCAGGATTGGAAAAGAGACTTTATGGACAGGTCAATGGCTACGTTGAGCTGAAACCGCCCCCCTTCTACTCCCTGCCCGCTCCAGTCCAAACATGAACTCTTCTTCTGATGCGAACCAAAGTGGTTCTCCCCCGTTCTGCCTGCTGGGCTCCGTGGGTTACTCCCGCAGCCTGGATACCTGCGTGCTGGAGGTGGTCATCATCCTTTTCCTCACTGTGCTCATCATTGCTGGCAACATGGTGGTGATCTTCGTCTTCCACTGCGCCCCATTGCTGCACCACCACACCACCAGCCACTTCATCCAGACCATGGCGTACGCCGACCTGCTGGTGGGGGTCAGCTGCCTGGTGCCCTCGCTGTCCCTCCTCCACTACCTCCGAGGCCTGAATGAGGAGCTCACCTGCAAGGCCTTTGGCTACATGGTTTCTGTGCTGAAGAGCGTCTCCATGGCCTCGCTTGCATGCATCAGCGTGGACCGCTACATCGCCATCACCCGTCCACTGTCCTACGCAACGCTGGTGACGCCATGCCGACTGAGAGTGTGCATCGTCCTGATCTGGGTTTACTCTGCTCTGATCTTCTTGCCATCCTTCTTTGGCTGGGGGAAGCCAGGATACCATGGGGACATATTTCAGTGGTGCGCAGACTCTTGGAAGACCAACCCAGGGTTCAGCACCTTCATCGCGGCGCTGCTCTACGCACCAGCAGCGCTCACCGTGTGCTTCACCTACGGGAGTATATTCCGGATCTGCAGGCAGCACACAAGAGAGATCACCCAACGGCATGCCCGCTTCAGCTCGCAGGCGGAGGGCGATAAAGGCGAGCGGGGGGAGCGGTGTGAAGGGTGCCCGGACAAACGCTACGCCATGGTGCTGTTCCGCATCACCAGCGTCTTCTACGTGCTGTGGATGCCGTACATCCTTTACTTCCTCTTGGAGAGTGCTGGGCTGTATCACCATAAGGTGGCATCCTTCCTTACAACATGGTTGGCAATAAGCAACAGCTTCTGTAACTGTCTCATCTACAGCCTCTCAAACAGCGTCTTCCGCAAAGGTCTGGGCCGCCTCTTTAGCCCGTTGTTCCCCTCCTGTCTCGGCTGCATGGAGGCCAAAAAAGCGCCAGTTCCTATTGGTCCCCGGGCAAACACCCAATGCCAAGTGTGAGCCCTGACACCTCTGGTTTTGGATTGTTCACTTTGGGGGCATCAACCTCTGTGTGTGCTTTGTTCAGCTGCGTAGCATGACACAGGTGGACCCGCAGTGAAATGTGCTGGGGACCCCCTGCATGGAGCACGGAGAGGTGCCTGTGCAGATGCCTGTTGGTTGTCTCCATGGCTGATTTTGTGGAGGCTGGGAAGCTTTCACGAATGCTCTTCACTGTGATGCTGCTCTTTCACGGCTGCAAAGATCACAACCTGACAACAGGGAGTAAAGAAGTTTGATGTCGATGGAGGAAGGGGACAGTAGGAATAAGATTCATGTGTTTCACTTCAGATGATTTAATAAGCACTCCTGCCTGCACTAACAACTCTCAGATGCAAAAAAAGGAAAGCACAGCCTGACTTGTGTTGTGTGATCCGCTGAAATGCAAAAAAATCTCTCCGAACCTGACTAGAAAATACAATTGTCTTGGTTCGTTCAGGGTAGATTAGGCAATGCAAACACATTTTAGGACACTGATCTGTTTTCCTTAGGGAACACCAGATGCTAATGAGTTAATGAGTGTATGAAACATCTTTCATCTGATAATCAGCGTGTGTGTGAATCGGATGGACTTCAAGAGTATTTCTCAATGAGAAGACAAAAGATTTATTTCAAATGTTAATCAAAAGGTTTTCTCTCTTTGAACCTGGTTGTTTGTGAGAAGCTTCAAGTATGTTTACACAGTCTCGGGTTTCACATGAAATTGTTGATTCAAGAATTAGCTTTGCTTTCTTATGGTGGCTGCTGGTTTCCCTGCTGGCAGACAGTGGCGTGTCTTCTTCAACATGACAATACATTAATTTATTAGGAGAGTTTTATTCTCTGTTTGCGTTTCCTCTTCAGGTTTATCGGCCCTACTTTGTTAAGCCTCCGGGATGTTTGCCTTGGACCTCCGCTGAAACAGAACATGACTCTTAAATCACAAGCCACGTAGAGTCTTAAGATAATCTCCTCCTGCCTCGTCGACTGTTGATGATCAATCAGCTATCTGCGGGGATCCACATGGCCTCCATGCAAAGACTGACTTCATTGTTATCTGTAAACTTTATTATCTGCCCTCCAGCAGTGGATGGCTGTTCAGATGAATGTAAAGTGAAACACAAGTTTAATCACAAGCTCAACCACGGAGGGCAAGAGGGTCAGAGCACTTTTTCTAAGAGCCAGTGACCGCTTGTGGCTTGGTGTAAATATACTTCGTAGTTTCAATATTTAAACAGTGGTTAATTGTAAAGAGGACCTCCGGGGTTATAAATGTGGATGTTTTTTAAGATAATTTATTTCTCGCAGCCAAGATGTCCCCAGAGACTGAACCTGTTTTTTACATACTGCAGGAAAATGTTTTATAAATTTAAAGTCACAAATGTTTTTCTGATAGCGTCTTGCTCTTGATTAAAACATAGTTGTGGAAAAAGAAGAGTAAAGAGAATCTTTTGGAAAATTGTTCAGGAAAACACTATATGGCTAAATGCACGGCCCGAACCAAATAGTGTATTTATCTGTGGCTGTTTTTAAGGTATGGGCTCCTAATATCCATTAGAAAAACACTTTTTCTAAAGGCATCTTACAACAGTTAATCAGAATCTATCATTACAAATAATATGCCATAGAAATGTACATTTCCCCTTAAAACAGCTTGAAAAATGATTGGTAAATTGTAAAACTGAACCGAAAACCAAACCACAGTTTACAACACTGTTGTTGTAATGTACTGTGTACTTTATTTATTAGTGTATTTAACAGGGAAGGTTCACATTGCTTAACCAGACATTTCCGAGAGACTGATAACAGTTTGTATGTTTAAGTCTGTCACAGTTTCCCAGTCAGCTTGATCCTGTTAAATCGAGTTGCAACTAACCATTATTTTCCTTATGGATTCATCTGCTGATTATTTTCTTTAATAATAAATGTATCAAATGTTGGAAAAAGTGAAAAATGTCAATCACGGGTTGTCAAAGTTCAAGATGATTTTTGTTTATGTATTTTCTTGCTGGTCTGAAACACAAAGTATTCCCTTTAAATTGAAAACAGCATTTTCTGCCTTAGGGGCATCCAAACAAAAAAAGATTCAAGATTCAAGATACAAAGTTTAACTTAATGTGTATTCAGTTTAACAGAGTATTTTGATCTAGACATTTGGGATCATTTATGTGGTGTTATAAATGTGTATTATAACAAGGGTCATCACTTTGAAAAAATTGAACGTACATTTTTGACCTCAGAAGCAAGTTCCTGTTAGAAGTTGATGTGAATCACCTGATCCTCAGCAGGTGAAGGTTGTCCAGTTCTAATTGACTTGTTGTATATCATTGAGACCTTACAAGCAGCTTCTGTAGTGAGGATTTATAAATAAAGCATGGCTTTAGGGCAGGGGTCAGAGTAGGGTCACGGTTCAGAGTTTAACAGTAGGACTTTTCCGGTGCAACGGTCACACCAGCTGCTGCCAGGGGGATCAAACCTCCCAATGACCCCACTGTGCTGATGTTCTATTTATAAAGCATTTTTCTATGTAATGGTATGTATTCAGCATCTGCTATGACAATGTAATTTCCTCTGACTTGTTTGATCCCTGCTTGATTGGTTGTGAAAAATGCTCCACTGATGGACCTTTCCTGCATGATTCTGGTTCTGAGAGTAACTTTACTCCATGTCTTCGGTTTCTAACTACTGTTGTGTACCACATATGGCTTATCATGTTTTCTTATGAGCGAAAATCGTTCTTGTTCATGTCAGAAAACCCTCTAGCCTTCCTGTGATCTTCACCTGTCGCTGCCGTGATAAAATGACACAAATATGCAAACAGTGAAAACACAAAAACCAAGAGCCTAACCTTAAAAGGTCTCATTTAACCTAACATTGTCAAAGTAAACACCTGAAATCTTTGCATTATCTTTATGACAGCAGTGGGAGTCAATGCAATACAGCTTACTGGTGTTAACACAAACCACAATAAATTAATGAAAGGGCTTTTATTATCTCAACACTGGTTAGGCTGTTTGCTACTCAGCGTGTGATCTGAGCAACTGCTGTAAATTATTGTATGAAGGTGTAAATGTAAGATTAAAATGATATGTTCTGATTCTGTGTTTTGGATTCATTTGGGACTTAATATGTTTGCAGTTGGGATGGCTGTACGTGTGTGTTTGTATTTCCCCTCATTTTACAATAAACAAATCCTGTTGGATTAGGAGAAGATTTAGGTTTACGGTTGTAGTCCGAGTAGTACTGATTATTCACATTCTTGAAGGGTTTGGTTTCATGCAGGTAAACAGTCCCTTTGGAGAGCAAACGTGGCCGACAGGCAAATCAAAGTCAAAGTCAGTCTACTTTATTGTCAATCTCAACATATGTTTGTACACACAGAAAGATCGAAATAGTGTTTCCCACAGTCCCGAGGTCTAAAATAACACATTAAAAAAACAAGAACACTCAATAATTAATGCGTTACAACAACTGTCCATGCAGTGCTTTGAGTAAACCCTGCGTGTGTTTTATCTAGTTGGTGAATGTTTTCTGAGTTGTCAAGTTTGTGAAGATGTTTCTTCATTTGCATGTGTTTTGGCATATTCGTTTTTTTTTATTTGCATCGTTTTCGATAGTGCAAAGCATTTCTCCTAATGGAAGTGTTTTGGGCCGCTGTAGCATGTTTGCATGTGACAGCCACCGTACGAAAGAGGCAGAAAACATTATCAGAAAGCGATATCTGAATCCATTGGCTATCGTTTGAAAACCAATAACTTTTAATTATCTGTAAATTAGCTTGTAAACTGGGACAACATCTGTTACACCAAAACCACTCAAATATTCCCCTGGCCCAAATAATTATCAGACATATTCGTATATAATTCACATTTCATTGAAAGAACACTAAATAATTCCTTCTCAGGACTCAGACTACAGAGCAGAGTTGGCAAAAACAAAAAATATAAACAAAACATTTTTTATATATAAATATATAGCAATATAAATGTAGCTTAGTGTCAGAAAAATAAAAGAAGTGCATTGTAAATTATACATTTCATGTTTAATTATTTTAGTTTGGGCTCTTGCATGTCAATTTTTGGATTACAAGTAAGGTCTTTCTTTTTGAGAAGTAAAACGTGTGACAAAACAAAATAAAATGTAACAAATACTTAATTACATTATTCCAGGCTAAAGCAGTCTGCAAACAGTTCCGGAAAATATGTTCTCAATTTATTGAAAAGTCATATTTGACCCACTGACTGTCATTACTTTTTTTTTTTAAACATTCCCCTGTTGTTGTACAGTTTTTATTGCATGGAATATTTTTGGTGCCATGCAGCAACATAATAAATCCATCATAACTTAATTTGTTGTATTCTTTGTTAACTTAAAGTTAATTTCTCGCTAGACAGTTTGGTTTTGGTTAATGGTGCAAATGTGTGTGGTGAGGGGGAACCAAAGTTGAAATCATTTGAATGGATTCACTATTTGAAGGGGCCTTATCATGCAACGTCATACAGACATTCCAAAAAAACAAAACAGAAAACAAACAAAAACTAAATAACAGAAAGAAAAGCACAACAAACAAGGACAGTCTGTTAAATGTAATTCATGGAGGGGAAGAGTGTGTGAGAGAGAAACTCCCTTTGGAGAGAAATTTGGAGTTTTAGAATTTTCAAAACCAATAATACACACTACAGGAAAGTGAATACCCCAAAAAGCACAATAGGTGTCAGGGTTGAGCGAAGCAGGCAGGACCCAAACGCAGATTTAACAGGAAATACCTTTATTTAAAGGCTACAAGAAAAATACAGAGCTCTTCCCCGTGAACACAGTCAAAAACAAACAAGGATCTCACAAAGACTAACAGAAAACGCAGAACCTAAATGCACACAGGGCTAATGAAACAAACAAGACACAGGTGAGGAGGAAGGAGAAAACACAGGGGCACAAGGTGAACACAATCAGGTAATCAGGTAGGAGGGAACACACAGACAGGAAACCAAAGACAGATCTAGACAAGAGAAAACGCAACACACAGATCGTTTCATTACCCCCCCCCCCCCTCAAGGGACGGATCCCAGACGTCCCTAAAAACAAAAAGTCCAAAACATCCAGCAGGGTGGGTGGAGGGGGACCGGAGGAGGGACTCGGGGCAAAGCAGAAGCCGAGAAGGGGGACTCGGGCAGACGGCCCGGGGGCAAAGCAGAGGCCGAGAAGGGGGATTCGGACGGACGGCCCGGGGGCAAAGCAGAGGCCGAGAAGGGGGACTCAGGCGGATGGCCCGGGGGCAAGGTAGAGGCAGAGAAGGGGGACTCGTGCGGACGGCCTTTGGGAACAGCAACATAGCAGGGAAGTCTGCGGCGGGGAAACTCAGAGGGCCGAAGACAGGGGGGAAGGCCTCGTCGGGGTAAATTAGGGGGGCGGAGTCGAGGGAGAAGGCAGCGGCTAGGAAAGTCAGGGGGCCGGGCTCGAGGGCGAAGGCATCGGCTGGGAAAGTCAGGGGGCCGGGCTCGAGGGCGAAGGCCACGGCTGGGGAACTCAGGGGGCCGGGCTCGAGAGCAAAGGCCACGGCTGAGGAACTCAGGGGGCCGGGCTCGAGGGTGAAGGCGGCGGCTGGGGAACTCAGGGGGCCGGGCTCAAGGACGGGCAAGAAGGCGGCGACGGGACAGCTCGAGAGGACGGGCAGGAAGGCAGTGCCGGGACAGCTCCGGAGGACGGGCAGGGAGACGGCGTAGGCCGCGATGGGGCCCCTCCGGGGTCAGCTGGATCGCCGGAGCAGGAGCACAGGGATCGGGAGCACTGGGAGCTGGAAATGGCGGAACCCCCGGTGGTACAGGAACCGGTGTCGGGCCGGACAGGAAACGGAGCCGTCGGGACAGGTGCAGACGGAACCCAAGGGCTGGTGTCGACTGGACCCCAGACGGAACAAGGGCTGGTGTCGACGGGACCGCCGTCGGAACAGGACAAGGTGTCGGCGGAAGAGGCGTCAGCAGGACCCCCAACAGAACTGGACATGGTGTAGGCGTGACCCCCGGCGGGTTAGGATCTGGTGGCAGCGGGACCTGTGACTGAAAAGGATTCGGAGCTGGCTGGACCTCCGACGGAACAGGTGTTGGCGGGACCCCCAACAGGTCGGGCACGGAGTTGGCAGGACTCCCAGCGGAACCCCCAACGAAACAGGACAAGGAGTTGGCAGGACCCCCGGCGAGACAGGTGACGGCGGGACCCCCAACGGAACAGGACACAGAGTTGGCAGGACCCCCAACGGACCAGGACATGGGGTTGGCAGGACCCCCGACGAAACAGGTGTCGGCTGGACCCCCAACAGGACAGGACACGGAGTTGGTAGGACCCTCAGCGGAACCCCCAACGAAACAGGACAAGGAGTTGGCAGGACCCCCGGCGATACAGGTGACGGCGGGACCCCCAACGGAACAGGAGACAAAGTTGGCAGGACCCCCAGTGGAACTCCCAACGGACCAGGACATGGGGCTGGCAGGACCCCCGACAAAACAGCAGTCGGCGGAACCCCCAACGAGACAGGACATGCTGGGACTAGAGAAGGGAAATGAGAAAGGATTTGGAAAGGGACTTGGAAAGGGATTAGAGTAGGGACTAGAGGAGGGACTAGAGGAGGGACTAGAGAGGGGACTTGAGATGGGTCTAGAGAGGGGACTTGGGAAGGGACTTGGGAAGAGACTCGAGAATGGACTAGAGAAGGGACTTGGGAAGGGACTTGGGAAGGGACTAGAGAATGGACTAGAGAAGGGACTAGAGAAGGGACTTGAGAAGGGACTTGAGTAGGGACTTGAGCAGGGACTTGAGCAGGGACTAGAGGAGGGACCATGGCTGCTGGGGCCGGGACCATTGCTGCTGGGGCCGGAACCATGGCTTCTGGGGCTGGGACCATGACTGCTGGGGCCGGGACCATGGCTGCTGGGGCACGGGCTTGAATCCTGGCCTTGCGTTTCCTTCCATGCTGCCTTGAAGCCTTGTGGAGGCTCAGAGGTCCTCCAAAGGCCAGACGAGACCCAGCGAAAGGGTCCTTGAAAGGAGCCTTGTTGGGAACTGTGGCAGGCAGGGGGCTAGCATGCCAGGGGCTAGCAGGCTGGGAAACAGGTTTGACCTCAAAGCTACCGAAAAAGTCCTCCACCCACTCGGGTAGTAACTCCCTTAACCAGGGCCTTGAGGTTACTTCCTGGCGTGCCGTAGAGATAATAGACTGCCTCTCTTCTCTACTGGAGGCATATCGACAGTAATTTTTTAGGCACATTAAATTGTACGTCACCAGACAGGCTGTCTGCTGGGTCCATTTTTGGTGAGATCCTTCTGTCAGGGTTGAGCGAAGCAGGCAGGACCCAAACGCAGATTTAACAAGAAATACCTTTATTTAAAGGCTACAAGAAAAATACTGAGCCCTTCCCCGTGAACACAGTCAAAAACAAACAAGGATCTCACAAAGACTAACAGAAAACGCAGAACCTAAATGCACACAGGACTAATGACACAAACAAGACACAGGTGAGGAGGGAGGAGAAAACACAGGGGCACAAGGTGAACACAATCAGGTAATCAGGTAGGAGGGAACAGGTAGGAGGGAACAGACAGACAGGAAACCAAAGACACATCTAGACAAGACAAAAAGTGCATTTGTTTTAAATTGGTATTTTGAATGTATTTACTTAAGTAAATCAAGTGAGATCTATTTATTGTAAATGTCCTTAATAATTAATTGAGGCAAAAATGCAAGAAGAAATCTAAATAATGAAACTTCCATTGATGAGGACGAGTTGTGATCACTGTATTTGCAACACGGCATACAATAATGTTTATACATTCAAAGGTACTGAATGAATAGCTACCACAATAGAAACTCTATCTATAAATATCTGATGGCCCACAAATATATGTCATGATATTTTCCAAGTAAGGGTTGAAATCTTTCTATAATTATCGACAAAATGTTGTTTTAAATTATGTTTTTTTTTCTAAATGAGTAACATAATTGTCTGCTTGTTAACTGTTCTTCAGCTTTTTCCAGCTGTACACAGGACCATCCATCAAGCTCAAGATCTTTACCTAACTACAGTAATTATTTTAATTATCCATTTA